TACCTTAATTACAATATTGCTAGGAAGTAACGCTAGATGGAAAATAATTCTTTCAGTAACAGCATAGATCAGGTTGTTCTTTCGAAGTACAATCCAGCTCCATTTGACTCCAGGTGGGAGTTGGGACTGCAGTGTTTTAAAAACAAACAAAAAAAGTGTGGGGCAAGGTGTGGGAATATTGGCCATTTTACCAGTTAAATTATATATACACTTGTCAAAAAAAATTTCTTAACTAGGTACAGCATCACTGACACTTACTCTCAATGTTAAAAAAAAAAATGGTGAAATCTGTCAGGCTACATAGCATCAATATATAATAGATGCTTCTTACCAGTGATTAGCTTTATTTTTTTCTGTCTAAAGAGGGCTGCCTTGGAATCCTGTCACAAAGGCTGGGGAGTGAGTGTGATAGTTGGAGTAGCTGCTGCTGGGCAGGAGATCTCTACCCGTCCCTTCCAACTAGTAACAGGTCGCACGTGGAAAGGGACTGCGTTTGGAGGTAACTTTCTGGCACACTGATGATCTCTTATCTACTAAAAAAAGAGGGGAAAAGTACAGTCTTCCTCTGTATTTATGTGAGAAACTGGTTCCTATCAAGTCCTTCTTAGTGAATGTGATGGAGTGAACTACCATCTGGCTTTTCAAATATAACCTTTTATAAATAATTGTCCCCCCCTCCCCGACAAGCTGTAAATGATCAGCCTTCTGTTGCACATTATGAATTTAAAATGCAAGTAGCAGCCATAATGGGAGAATTTCTCCTGTGCAGTTCTATGGCTGTATCATGGTTGAGGTGCAAATAATCACTTGAAGACTTGAGCAATAACAAGAAAAACAGCTCATCTGGGAAATGGGGAATAATGTAAACATGTTTGTGTAAGTAACTGCACTGTTAATCACTGAGCAAATGGAATCATTGAGCTCTGTTGTGAGGATGCATAGCTTGTGGGGGGTGGTTTTAAGACAGTAAAAGGGGGGATCCTTTAAGAAGAAACTGTTTAGACGTAAGTCAGGAATGAAAAGCTTCTGGAGTCTTCGCAAAGTGCCACTTTTATGTAACTCTCTTCCACGCAATACAAAGCTGTGCTGTGGTCTCATGCTAAAATACACAAATGTAAAACAGGAAGAGGGCTCAGAGCCAGTTTTCTGAGGTGATCTAAGCTAGACATTGAACACAGGTCCCTGCAGTGAAAAGTAATGCACTTCGCAAATGAGGACCTCAATTTTGACTGGTCATTTTAGATGTACTCGTGCATTCTTTACTCCAGTGCTATTCTACAGCCAGCTGGGTATGGATATTATGACCCCAGGATCTATCTCGTACAAAGAAAACTGAGCTTTAATGACTAATACTATTGGGGGGGGGGGCAGGGTTGATACATTTTATTTCCTACCTCTGCCCTAGGATGGTTTTGAATTTACTGGGTAAAAAAAGTTTGTTTTGGGTTTTTTTCAGGTTGGAAGAGTGTAGAGAGTGTACCAAAGCTGGTGGCTGAATACATGTCAAAAAAGATCAAAGTTGATGAATTTGTGACACACACTCTGCCTTTTGACAAAATTAATGAAGCTTTTCAACTGATGCATGCAGGGAAGAGGTAAGTTTAAATGTCTTATATCCGTAACATTGAATAGCTCAATAAGAGTTTGTAGGGCACTGCTATGTTCCTCCTTCCCCTAACCATGCATCCCCTTCGTGTTTCAGATATGCTGTGTGAATTGCTATGCAGTAAGTGTGTTCATGCACAACTAGAGCAACTCATTGCTCAGTCTCTGTTCCTAGCTTAGTGCTGCAACATCAACCTCTATTTTGGGTGGGGACAGGTGAAAGGCAAGGAAAATTACAATGGTGGGTGTTTGAGCAGAGGAGGAAACAAACCATAAACTGGAAAGAGAGAGAACTGAAGCCATAAAGGACAAAAATAAAAAAAGTTAACTTCAAGCACCAGAATAAAAGTAGAGACCGAGAAGGAAACAACAAAAGAAAGTACTTGGATATTAAAATCTCAAACTTAATTCAGAACAATTAGCATTTTAGATTACACTAGAACCTCAGAGTTACAAACTGACCAATCAACCACATTCCTCATTTGGAACTGGAAGTATATAATCAGACAGCAGCTGACCAAAGATGACAAAAAATCGCAACTACAGTACAGCACTGTTAAACGTAAACTACTACAAAAAATAAAGGGAAAGCAGCATTTTTCTTCTGAATAATAATTTCAAAGCTGTATTAAGTCAATGTTCAGTTGTAAACTTCTGAAAGCAAAATTTTGTTCGGTACGAACCACCTCCATGCCTGTGTTCATAACTCTGAGAGTCTACTGTACTTCATTAAATAGAAGATTTAAATTTCATGTTCCTCAATGTATTTTAAATAATTGGCTGATTGTTAATATTGAATCTAACCTAGCTATCATCTGGTAGTAAGCTGTTAATGTCCAGTTTACATTTATTAACATGCTGGAGTTGTTCTGTCCTTTATCTTGTTCACCAATGGATTTTTTCCCCCTAACATGTGACTGGAGGCAGAACTAAAGAACCTTCAGTCACTGGCTGTGACTTAACTCTGCCCATGTTATCTTACCCGGAGTTTCTTCTCGGCTCAGGTAAATGGCAAGATTGTGCTGCCGTTTGCAAAGCAAGCTTCAGCTATAGCAATAAGTAAATTCAAGACTCTTTTCCTCAGGAAAGGTGAACTGAGGCTGTCATTTAGCTTGGTGCAAGCCTGAAGGAAAAAACATGAACGTTATTTATAGATTGTGAATCAGCGCAAGAGCAATTCTGCCACCTGGTGAATACCAAATGACACATCACAAAAGCATAATACAGTCCAGGATCTGTTCCAGTCATAGTATATCCCTGGCAACCTTTGTGAAAGGGATGGTCTGGTTCTCTCCCTGTAAAGCAAAGCCTAGATCTACTCATGGATGTTATATAACATTTCTCTTTGCATGTAAAGGAGAAGAGAGCCTGTCCATAGACACAATGGCAGAATCCACAGCTGTGACTTAGAGCCTAAGAAGGTTTAACTCAAAGGAAAAGGCAACATCCAGTTTCAGTCTTAGAAATAGCATTAAGTTTTGTTCTCCAAGCTGATGAGTTCCATGCCTGTAAGTCAAAGGCCAAACTACTGGGAATTCATCAGGATAGTAAGTGAGAGCTTTAAATCCAACTCCTAATTGAGTTTCTAAACAATCTGTATGAAATAGCTATCTTTCCCCCTAGAAATAAAAGCAGGATTAATAAATGGTCCAGGTCACCTACCTATTAAGAGCATGGATAAATGGAGAAGGGAAAAATCAATTGGTGGACATGATAGGAATCAGACAAACACATTTTTTTTTACTAGTAATTAAATTTTATATTCTCTAACACTGACAACTGCAGACAATGCATTGCCTGCACATATCCAATTAACTTGTAGGAAATGAGACTTAAAACGTATCCAATTTATAACTATTTAGTGCACTTCTGTGCTCCCATATAAGCACCCTCTCTGAAATTTAAATAGAGAAAGCTGTTTTAAATTCAGGCTGGGGCAGAAGAAAATGCATTTAAAAGCCATCCATTTGACTCTGTTGACAAACGGTCACAAATACTGAAAATTGACTTTAGAACTTGTATAGGTTTTTTATAAATATTCTCAAATCTAAATTTAGTGTGGAAGAACATACTCACATCTTTGAAGTGAGCGTTTAAAGAGTATAATGTAGGGAATTGAAGACATTAACGAACATGACTGACCGGTTTCTCAACTTACCAGATAACTCAGATTTTAAAAAAGGAAATATTAATTAGAGAGGATGGGAGGTTTGCTCTTAGATGAGATGTAGGATTAAGTAACATTTCAAAAACAGTGGTGAAAGTCTTATTATTGATACCTATTTTTGTCGTATTTTTTTCTTTTGTTGAAGCATTCGAAGTGTCCTGAAATTTTAAGGATCCCGAAGATGGAACCTGCCAGTCTTGGCACTATGCTGTGTCTACTAGTTAATGGAGCTTTTTGAAGAAGTGTAGGATCAGCTGGAGAGAAAATTCAGTTGTGATGGGAAAATCATCTGCTTTAGGATCATAGTTTCTATTAAATCATAGGTAACCTGATCTCAGACTAATGATAAATACTAAATCCAGTTATGAAACTAATGCTGGTTCTGGTCATGAAAATGTTTTATTCTATACTAGTCACTCCTGATTTCTGACAGTGCCTAAATCTTTAAAGCTGCTTGATAGGGTTTTTTTTTTGTTTAAACACCACCTAAAAACTTTCAGTCCTCAACAGTCATTAATGTGTTTTCTCTACTTCTAAAAAGTTATTAGATGGACTACGTAACACCTAAAGGTCTGTGGATTGCAGATGTGTACAGAGAAACTCTCCCCCCCCATGCAAAATGGGGTGGGGAGAAGACCCAGTTGTATCTGCAACAGCTTCCTAATCCTCATGAGCAGTAAAAGTTAAATATTGCAGTTAAGCTCTCACATTGCAGAGAACCCCATGGATGGAATATTTTATACCATTGTACAAGGTTTTTTTCAACCACAGCCATTAGACTCTTATCAGGGGAAGCTTAGTTTCTGCAGATTATTGGGCTGCCAGTGAACTACTGCACTTCAGGCTGAAGCTGACCTTATCCTTCATAGTAGTCTAAGGGGAGAACCTCCGAGTAAACTCCTCTCCTGATTTAACTGCTGTAGAACCCAGAGGCATGGGAGAGAGTGATTTAAATCAAGGCCCAACACCCAGCCAACCTGTTGCTGCTACTGTAAATAGCCCTAATTCAAAAACAAACTTGTCTAAGACTTACCTTTTATTTTGAAAAAACCTTAAAACTAGTCAAAGGTTTCCGTGACATCGTTACAGTCTGAGGCCCAAAGCCACAGCTGTGTGGGCTGTGATTTATCTGCTCTTACTGAAAGTGAGGTGAGGAAAGTGCCCTCCTTGCAACAATAATGTTGAAGGAAAACTCAGCACTGTGTAGAAAGTGATATTGGGAATTCACTTTCTTCCTCCTGGCCAATAAACTGCTGTCCTAGCATGACTGTATGGGGCAATCTGTAGTGTGACAGATGAGAACTACACACCCCCATTGTTAGAAAAATGAGATAAAAGGATTTAATTGTAATTGTACCTTTATAAGTATCTGGCTTAGTTAGTAAAAAGCCAGCTTCTGTAATACCTGGACAATTACTGATAGGCACCTCTACCCCCACAAAATAAATAAAGGCCTAAAAGCTATATAGTTAAGTTCTCACCTAATATGTTGACCATTCAATTAAATAGAGTAATTTTTTTGAGGAAGCATCTGCTGAAGAATTACACGGATAAGGAAGGGATAGATCATCAAAAGGTTTTCTCCTAATAGTGCTGATGAGGGACTAACTCTACTCATGAAATGTAGCATGTGGAAGATTTACCAATTTTAAGAACTTTATGGGACAAATCTAACTCCATTTAGGAGCAATACAAGCCTGTAGGCCAAGTCATTTTGATGGCAGTTATTTAAAGGATGGAGAGTTCACCCTGCTTCTTTCCTCCCCTCTTCCCCTTCTAGTCATTCTGGTGTCTGTTTGGTTTCATACAATGCATTGTTCTTCAGCATTAATTATAACAATCTGTCTCCTGGAAAATATCCACGAGTCAGCAAAAACTGCTTAAATTTCCATGTAGCATTTAGCAGTTTCCCTAAAATCTTTTATAAGATCTAACCTATTTCTAGAATTTGGAAGACAAAGAAATATAGTATACATTTGTAAACAAAACTACAATTTGACATGTCTAGAAACTGGAAAAAAAAAATAGGAGAAAAACCAAACTGATCTGGACTTCAGACTGATTTGCTATCTGGTAAATAAACTAGGAGACTGTCTAAACAAAGTTAATTTAAATTTAGACCCTCTTATATAATAAACATTAATTCAGAGATAACTGAAATGCTGTTGTAATTGTAGCTTACCTGCAGAATGCACAGTATGAGGGACTGTCTATATTAAAGTTGCATTGGTCTGTTTAGTTATCCTGGTGCAAATACTTACCATAGATGTGTATTAAACCATGCTTGTAGCAGTTTAGCACATCGTTAAATTAATGGAATTTATCTACACTGGTTTAAGTGCATCTATGGTAGGAATTTGGACAGGTTCAAACAAATTTGCATATGTCCATGCCTCAAAGACTACGTCGATTTTATATTATGAAAATACAGGTTCCATTAAAAGAAGCTACAACTCTTAATTTATATGCCAAAGTCAAGACTTCCTGTCATGCATGCAAACACAAAAAAGGCAAGACAATTGTACCCACTCAGGTGACTGGCATGGTGGGCAAATCTCCATGATAGTCATCCCAACTTTTAATCTCCTTAATACATTACATACATGGCACTGAACACAGGTAATTCCACTCAAGTATTGCAGTCTGTTTAGTTAAAATCTACACGCGCACACACGTGAACCATTTCAGGTCATTTTTTACTGTATCATTAAAAATAATAAAGGTAATGAAAATGTTATCACAATGATACTCTTACAGCAATAAAGGTTTGAGGCACTGTGGGAAGAGAAGACATTTTCTGGCAAGTTTCGTGTTTTGTTGTGACCACGATGGGTCCAGTTTTGTGAAGCATTAACTGCCCTTGAGTTTAATTGGAGCCAACGAGAGGTCAGGACACTCAGTACCTTCAAAGACCAGGCTCCCTATGTGACAAGAAGTCAGACACCTAGTAAAATGTGCACTTTATGCCCATGATTTTATTATTTGATTTGTCTTCATTGGTTTAATTTTTTCTGGCACTACAGTGTTGTAAGGAAGACAGACACTAGGTCTGTAACTGTGGGTGAAATAATTTTCATTACTGATTCAGAAAAGAAAAAAATCTCAGCAGAGACACTACAGTTTGAGAAGGGGGGGGGGGGGGGGGCAGAGGCTAATCAATTCCCATAGTCCTGGAGATGGTAGCTTTCAGATCAGAAGGGTGACAGACTAGTCAAGAAGCTTGGGGAAAATTGCACTACTGCTGCCCATGCTGTATCGGGTCTGAGGGCAGAGCACTTCAGTTGCCAGGCCTGTCAGCCTGACACCTTTCAAGAGCACAAAATTCACTTAAAAACTGTCTTAAAATTCAAGAAAACTACTAATACAGCAGCAGTAGTATCTAAGACATTTCCTCTTCACTCAAATGTGAGCATTCTTTTGAAATAGTTTTGAAATTCATCTTGCTGTAATGTCTTTCACTTTGCAATCCCCATCCCCTAATATCTCTAGGGGAGAGGCCCCTCAGTAAAAACACACAGGAGCTTGTAAATCATTTTTTTTCTTGGTTAGTTGGCTCATTCCTTTCCCTGTCAAGTATGAAATAGCAGTTTCACAGTGAACTTTTGGAGCACCAAACTCTGCCAACCACTGCTCTTCAGAAAAGGCAGCTCTTCGCAGGAAGCAATTTTAGTAATTTTACAGCAAGAAATCAGCACTAACCATTTCCAGCAAGAGAGAGGTCTATGGTCTCAATTACAGCAGAGCCAACTGACAAAGAGATGGGACAGAACTAAATTTGAATGTAGATGAGTTTTGGCAACATGTGCCTCTTTTTAAGTACCTATTCCCCCTCTCTGGTTATAAACAAAGCCCATTGTTTGCAGAAGTAGCTAAGCAGGTCTTTGGAATGAGAAACACTTAAAATCCCAGGTGCCATTCATACACAGACAAAAGTCAGGCACACTGAAGAAGTGAGAAGAGACTTGATGCCCAACACGTCAAGTTCCCAGTGGGAAAGTAACCTGCACTTTCTAGCTAATACCATGCATGTGACAGAAACAACTGCAGGTCTGATTGAAAGAAAGGTGCTAAATGGGCAACTGAAGAAAAAAAAATAAAAAAAAATACAGTACAAGTGTTGTGGGTAGGAGGGAAGCAGAAAATATTTTAAATACTTCTCTCCTTTTTTCAGATGTTGGGTCAGGTTCTTCAAGATATATACCAAATGCTGTATTTCTCTCTTATCTACAGTCAATGAGAACAAAACAAATGATAAAATCCCCCTCTGTTCTGTACTCTTAATAAAATGCATAGTACAGAGACAAAAGATATCATTCAGATCTGTCAGCTCAGTCTAAACTAATACTGGGACATGAAGTGAGGACGAACACTGTCCAACCGCCGAGTTAAGATTTCACACCCAGTATCTGTGATCAGAAGAGTGTGCTCAAACTGCGCAGACCGCTTTCCATCTCTTGTCACTGCAGTCCAGCCATCAGGCCAGGTTTCGTCTTGCCACCCACCTAATAAGATAATTATTTAAAGATTAAAACAAAGTATGGACAATATTAATTCTTAAATGTGTCCCTTCTAAATAGTATATACGCGGTGACTGTTATAAATATGAATGTGTATTACACATTGAATCAATTCGTCAGAAGCCTTTTAAAACTTCCAGTTTTGGGCATAATAATCTAGTTGGCTTCTATCACTGCCATACCATGCCTGCTGTTAATAATACACAGCAAAACATATGAAAGACAACAAATGCAGATGGATCTTCAAAGTCAATTTTCTTCACTTCCGTCATTATACTCTTTTAGAGCTCATTAAGATTGTCAACCTCATCCTGTGATGGCAGCAGACTTACCATGGCAGTGAGAGTCCCTAAATTGGGGGTATAAAGTTGACTGGCAAGAGGCAAAATTTTGGAGTCCAAGTCAGATCACAGTGTCTCTTCTCTAGCTAGCCAAGTTCAATATCACATTTAAAGACAATTAAATGGTATTTAAAAAAAAAATCAAATGTATTAGGAAACTTCCTTCCCTCTGCCCATTAATTCACCTCTGCTTTCCCCCCCAATACAGGTCACACCCTCCACCTTCTTATGAATTCTCCCTACTCAGCCTCACTTTTCCTCACCAGTGAAAACGCACACACCTGCCCTACCTTTGGGAGATTCTCTCTCTCTCTCATTTCCCTCACTCTTCCTCCCAATAAGGAATCTCTACTCCTCCCATCCAGGACTGCCCCCATCCTGTTCCCTGGAGCAGGGGGAATGGAAATACACCTATTTCCCAAAACCTGCTCCTGCAGGACTCAGCAACAGTAGAACACAGGGAACGAAGGTATGGATGCTGCTGGGCTCAGTGTCAGCAGGGGCCAGGGAAGGAGTAAGGAAGGAAAAAAGGGAGGAGCCGCCCAGCTCCTGTAGGATTTTGTAGAGAAACGAGCCTTGGTGGGGAGAAGTTGGGGGGGGGGGGGGCGGGGGAGAGGGAGGGACAGGGCTAGAAAGGTGCCTCTTCAGAACCCTGGCCTATAAGGGGTTATGGCATCCCCACTGGCTGTACGAAGCTTCACTGCTAGGATAGCGGAGGGGAAAGGAGCAATGTCCTATGTCCAGTCCAGAAAGGGGCTCCCTCAGCAGCTCTAAGCTAGCTCCCTCCCAGCCCCTCCGAACCGCCACAGCCAGGCAGCTGCAGGTAGGAACCCTTTGTAAATTACAAAGGTAGCTGCAGGATGAAAGAAAAGGCCCTCAGAGCTGGATATGGCCCATTGGCCATATGTTTGACACCCCTAGTTTAGAGGAAGTGCCATAACAACAAATGAAACCCTAGCAAAACCCACATCCTCGCTCTATTTACTTAGCCCCCTTTCGAACTCCTGGCCACTTACCTTCACAGATCATTGGTTCAATTGTAAACACGTGACCAGACTTCATCACACCAACAGCCTTATTTTCTGAAATGAAATTAGAATGCGAATTATGGTTGAACATATCTTCCAAGAGTGAAGGACAGAAGGTGTATGGAAGGCTCTATCCCTTTAATGCAGTGTATGCCTGAACTAGGACAGGTGAGGGGAAAAGTCAGAACAGCACTGCAGAGCAACCCACTTTCTTCCACGTTATACTTCTATCTTCTTCCCCTCCTTTTCTTCTCAAACTAGTATAAATTTGTTATACTTCTATTTCAGGAAAAGTGCTTGCAATTAATTCCTGTCTTTTCTAAACCTCAGTTTTTGCTCCATGAAAGTGATGAGCAAACTTAATGTAGACACTCGTACAGAATTTTTTTTTTAAATGGTGAAAAAGCACAAGTGGCAGTCTGAATAAAAAGCATATAGTATAATTGTTTAAAATAAAAATTCAAAGACGATTTTAAAATGTTAATTTGTTTCCATCATTGATACTCCTCCGAGCAATGTCATATACAAAAGTCAAGAGGGGATGAGATTCAGATAATCTTGCTGTCCAGAGGAGACATGGCAACAAACAGTTCTTTTGTGTTTACTTTGGCAAGTAAAGAGTCATTCTGTTACTTATTATTTTCGCATTACATTTTATTTAGCTAAGGTGTTAGCAGAGGTTTTCAAAGCAGTATAGGGATTTAGGTATATTAATAAAGTTTGAATAGAGAATGTATCAATTTTAGTGGAAGTGTTATGTCTAAGTCACCTACATAGCTTTGAAAAATCTCAACCATTATGTCTTCAGACTGATTTACTGAATACAGTACAGTATATCTTTCTTACACTTAAAGAGGCTTCCCTGTATCCTGATCATGTGCTGCTGTTGCATGCTACAAACAATTACGCTAAGCCTTCACCCCTTTTGTCTCTGTACCAGTTTCATCCTCTTCTTGTAGATTTTTACTCTAATCTTGTTCAGCAGAGTTTGTGGACTAAATTGAGTGGTCTTGGTGGGGTTCCCCCCCCTTAAAAAAAAATCTATTTGAGTTTAGCCAGAAACTCCACTCTTTTCTCATTAACAGTTCTGCTTTGGATCTTTCCTTTTTGCTTCTGTCGCTCATCCAAGCCTAAGGAAAATAATGCCTTTCCCTTCACAAAATGAAGCTTGCTTATTGTCCCCATCAAAAAAAATGTCCATTGTCGCTAATAACCAGAAAGAATTTTTTTTTTGGGGGGGGGGAAGCGGGGGGTTGGTATAAGATGCCTCCTTTTCAACAGAGACTGGGTATTCACAGAGTTTTACAGGACAAAACTAAAACAAAAGGGAAGTACTACTTTTCCACCATACTATTAGATTTCACTCCCATTAAAGCTGACATGTTAAGAAGGGCCTGAGCAAAAGCCAGTGACTTCTATGTTATCATCCATGACAACAACACAACCATCTGTGTGTGATACAGAGCTTGTCAAGAGTAGGAAGCTGAAGGATTTTTGGCAGCTATGGGAGAGAAGGCGTCATGTCAGGGGAGCTCTAGCAGCTAGAATGGACTGGAGCTGCTTGTCATTGGAGAATTGGTTGGTTTAAGTGGTTGGTTTTGCTTCCCTCCCTCAATTCCCCACTGGTCTTTCAAGTTCTCCCTCTTCCCTACTTTCACTCCCCATTTTACCCCTGCTGTGACTGCAAACCTCTGGCTGCTGCACTGTCATCTTCCAAACTGAGTCCAGCTGTGCTAGCCTCAGACATCCCTTCTCCTCACTGAACTTTGGTACACACTGGTGTGCAGTGAGATCTGTGCTGTTCCAAATCCCAGAGCACGCCACATCACACAGTAATTCAAGTGGAGATAAAGGGATCCAAAACCGATACAGCTACCACAGCAGCCCAAACTTGATAATCATGGCTCTAGGTCACCAAGGAGTAAGTGGGGTACTGGTTACAGCAATTGCTATTCACCACTGGGAATGGAATTCAAAGTTTCAGCTCAACCCCATCCATTCCAAATAGCCAGCACTAAGAAAACTGAGTAATTGAATCAACAAAATTGTGACTGGTCATGTGGTAAGCTGTCACTCATCCACCACAGCTAGGGTCCATTCCCCACCCCCAGAGTAGATGCACATTGGCTCAACTTGTTCATAACATACTCTAAATCCAACATTCAAGAAATCACTCTGTAAATACAAAAATCCAAAGTGACAGGCTGTCAAGCTATGTGCACAACTTTAGTATGGGAGGAACAAAAGTTCATCATGCTTATTCATCACTAGCAGATAATTGAACAATACTCACTGGCATAATGTGGCACATTGGGAGCAGTATGGAAAAGCTTATGGATCCCATGCCCACAGTAGCTCCGAACAACTGAAAATCCATTTGCTTGGGCGTGTTTCTGAATAATATTTCCCAGCTCTCTATATCGAACACCAGGTTTTACTGCAAGATAAGACATGCACCATTTTAAAAAGAGCCCTCCCCTCCTTCAATACATTTTACCATCTACAAAGGTTGCCACCGGCATCTCGCTATAGGATAAGATTCCAGGATTGCCACTCTGTCTAGGCATCACTCTGAAGCCTAGAATGTCTGGTGAGTCAGTGTGAAGTGATAGAAACAGCTACGAGCATGGTGTAGGGCTCTTTTTGTTTAGAATATGACCAGGTTCAATCATCACTGGGCTTCATGGTCTGTTACTGTCCAATTTTTAAGTTCTCAGCCATTTTTGGCTTTTTTACACATGACTTTATGAATTATACCAGTGTGACAACACAGGCTTTCAGCTACCAGTAGCTATACAATAGCGATAGCCGGTATGTCCATCTGCCTTTGTGCACAGCCTCTTGCACCATAGACCATTAAATATAATTCAACAGAAGCTCAGTGTGCAAATGAGCTGAGTCTGACAAGTTGGGAGAGGAGACCAAAGGCGGCCTTGTCTTCCATTATCTCAGTCTCACACAGAGGAAGACAAATGAGAGATAAAGAGGGAAATACCTCCTTCACCAAAAAATGAATTTTTCTTAAATACAAGCTCCTGTCTTAAAGGAACATAGTTGAAATCAACTAGATTTCAAAGAAAGAGTTCAAACTCGTTTGAGACACTACACCTGCCCCTGAGTTCCCCTGACAATTTTTGTGGGCTTAGCAATCACATTTTCCTATTTAAAAAAAAAAAAAATCTCTCTGTATTGTTGCTAGGTAAAAGACCCACACAAACAAGAGAAACCAATTGTACACATAGTGCTGTCAGGTACACAAAATAAACACAATGAAAAAACAGTGAAGAAATGTGTCTCTCTCTAATCTCATTTTAGATGTTAGTTGTAACAGTCACAGGTAAAAACATTCATTCAGGAGTACGAATTTAAACTTGACTCTGTCTCTTTAGCAGTCCACATGAGGCAGAAAGTTAAGCAAACAAAATGGTTTGGAATAATTATTTTGAGCATTTTTAAAAGAGAGATTCAATATATATTTCTCAGAGAACAAATTTAACTAGAACTCTATCCTGCTAACTCTCTGTGTGTGGAAGCCGTGCTAAACCCATCTGGAGGCCCATCACCGAGACAGCTTACAGGTGCATGCTCCCAATTAGTAAATTCATAGCACTATAAAGTTATAAAACCAATTTTCTTCACTTTTCAAATGGTGCTTTTTGTTAAATGACTTGATAAATAATTTTTTTTTGTTTTTGGAATTTTAAAAAAGTTACTCCTTCCTGGTTTCCCAAAACATCCTATGCGCTCTATCTTTTTTCTAGACTGTGAGCAACTCAGGTCACGTACTCTTATTTATCTTGCAGAGAATCAAATACATATTTGCATGCAACAAACAACAGTGTCATATATGGATCAGTTAATCAAATAGAGATTATTACAGCTTTTCCATGGCAATACTCATTGCAAATAAATGTTGCAACAACTATCAATAGAAACTAAAATACAGCATTTTAAGAGTGACTCTGCATTGTACACTATAAGCATATTCTACTAGCAACATGCATTAAGTATGGTTCTGTAACAGTAGTAATTCCTAAGTATTAGTTCAAACATGAGAGTTCTAATATTAAAAACCAATATAGCATTACACCTTAGGCTTCAGCAATGGTACTTACCTGCATCGATTGCTTGCATTAGGCACTCATAAGTTGTCTGAACTAGTTTCCTTGCACCCTCATCAACTTCCCCAACGTAAAATGTCTCATTCAGATCCCCATGATAACCATTGCGATATATAGTGATATCCACTGCAAAGAACATCAAAGAGAAAACGTCTCACTTCTTGGCCCTTGTTTTGCACAATAGTAATAAAATACGAAGTACTGTTGCAATGCTAGAGTTACATGCCCAAGTGCTCCGAAATAAGAACATTCCAAAACTCCAGTAACACTGACTTGGCCACACTGTCCAGATTATAGATTTCATGGTATGAATTAATAAAAGTGTTATGTAGTTAAATTGTTCATATTAATAAAGGCAGAAGGAAAATATATAAGTGCAATACTGCCATAGCAAGCTTATTTCTGAGTGCTTGATTTAACAACCTTAAATGTTGCTGAAACAATTTTTTTGTTTAATTTAAATGGAGGAGGGCGGTATTCAACATATGCACCTTAGAACAGGGGTGGGAAAACCTTTTGGCCTGAGGGCCACATTGGGGTTCCAAAACTGTATGGAGGGCTGGGTAGGGAAGGCTGTGACTCCCCAACCAGCCTGGTCCCAGCGCCCTATCCGCCCCCTGCCACTCCCCACCCTGACTGCCCCCCTCAGAACACCTGACCCATCCAACCCCCCCCCCCCGTTCCTTGTCCCCTGCCCACCCCCTCCCGGGACCTCCTGCCCCTAACCGCCCCCCCCCAGAACCTCTGCCCCATCCAACCGCCTCCTGCTCCCTGTCCCCTGACTGCCCCCGGGGACCCTCTGCCCCTTATCCAACCCCACCGCTCCCTGCTCCCTTACATGCTGCTCAGAGCAGCATGTCTGGCCACCACACCACCGCGGTGCCCGACAGGAGTTCATAGCCCCACTGCCCAGAGCGCTGGCAGCATGGCGTGCTGTGGCTGCAGGGGACGAGGGACAGCGGCGGAGGGGCTGGGGACTAGCCTCCCTGGCCAGGAGCTCAAGGCCTGGGCAGGATGGTCCCGCAGGCCCTGTAGTTTGCCCACCTCTGCCTTAGAATCTTTTGTATCTCTGCCAGACTCCAAAATTTAAGTAGCTGTGCAATATCCCAACCTTTTAGCTCATTGTAAGTAATTTCAACTGTGCAAGCTCAGTACATAATTTTTTAACTGTCACCTCTTTGTTAAATCAAACCCCATTTGTTTCCAAATGAAAACAGGCAATAGTCCTTAATGAGCACTAAAAGCATGTCTTCCCTGCAAAGCATAAGTAAAAATACCCATGACCAGCTTGAATCTAGCAAGCATGGATAACAACAGTAGTGAAGATGTGATAGCACAGGCTTTAACACAGGCTAGCAACCTGATCAGACCCAGGAGGCTACCCTAAGTTCAAGCCTGTTCTGTCACATCTTTACTAACTATTGTTACACGTGCTACTTAGATTCAAGCTAGTCATAGGTCTGCCTACCTGTGCTACAATCATAACTTTACTTGCAATGAAGACATACCCTAAATCCATGTCAAGTCACAAAGTTCAGTTATTTTTGCTGTAGTCCTGTCCAAGACAGTGTGAGTGGAAAATTTATTTGAATGGGAAAAGTTTATACTAAAAAAAGTTTACTAACATTTACATTTTGACATAGACAGACCATGGAAGTTTTCAGCCCCAAATGGGGAATGTTTCAGAAAGTTATGATCGTGTGAAAAGAGTTATGTATGAGAATTATTTTGCAACAGTGATTATGGCAGGTATCTGTGAAGAACATGAGGACGAACTGCAATAATGTATGAATACTGTATGGGATCTGACTATGGCTATATGACAACTATATTGATGACTGGAATGTTTACTAGGTGCATATGTTGGTTTAGTTTAATAGCAGGGTTGTGGGAAACTAACTGGACCGTATCACAATAGATCCACATAATCAACCTCTCAGTAAACTTTTTGGGAGTCATTAAACCAACGCCTGAGCTTTTAGCTGCAAAGATGTTACTTCTAGGTGTCAGACAAGTTATAGACCGGTTTTCCCCGTGCTGGGAGCCAACAGATCAAAAGGACTTTAAACAGTGAAAAAAAGTCATTCTCTGTCCAGAGGGGGAAGACAGTTGTCAAGGAGCTGTTCCCTGGTAACAGACTGACACACACATGCCCTTGGAGGTCTGAAGAAGTCAGGCCTTCCCAAACTTCCACAGGGACGGTAAGCTTTAGGAAAGACAGACATGTATGTAGTCCTTTTAGTGTTTTAAAACCCCATTTCTTTTATGTTATGTTTTATTCCTACTATTAAGATTGAACAATACTTTGATTTAAGAAAGCTGTTTTGGATCACTGTATTTACTACAGATCACAGCTCCCAAAGGGAAGAGTTGCAGGTGCCAAATCCAGTCGGGCCTTCTGGTGAAGCACAGTTGATCCACACAAGGCTAAAGCCTGGGACCTGAGTGGAAGAATTCCACCCCAAGAAAGGGGCAGGCATGAGGCCTGATACTAGGGGGCTGTACTCAGAAACCAGAGAAAGGAGACAGAGATACAGCTAGCCCTGTCACCGTGACAGTATCCACCAAATATCATTGTACATTTATGTTATGCTCTTCAACCCAAAAGGATCCCAAATTGCTTTACAAACAAAATTAAATAGAAACCCAGGCCCCCCATACAGAAAACATCTGGGCATGCACTTAACCATAAACACACAAGTAGTCCCATGTGAGAACTGGAGGTGAAAAGGACTACGAACAAAAGTGAAACTGGCTTCATTTATTTTCATTGTCAAAGCTAAGAGAAAATGCAAAAAGTAAAAGTTAAAAAATTACTTCTAAAGTACTCCATCCAGTCAAAAGATTCGAGGGCCCAGAACACCACAATCAAAAATAATACTGCACTTAGACTGCAAGCTCCTCTGGGAAAGGACTTGCCATTTTGTGTCTCTATAAAAACCCTGAGCCACGAGGATGCTATACAGTAGACATAACATGATAATAAATATGATCAAAAACCATCCTACTAACAATTTATCCCAAACTAATCAAGGATAATAATTTCTACCATTAAAACAGTCAATGTACCATCATTTTGTTCTGTGTTTGTACAGTGCCTAACACAATAGGTTTCTGATCCATGACTGGGGCTCCTGGGCACTATCACAATAAATAAATAAATAAATATACTATGATAATTAAAAAGCTGTTAAAATTGGTCTTTTGTCCAACTCTAATTAGTTGGAATTTTACTCAATCCATGAATTTGGATATGTAGTTGCTAAGTGTAACAAAAAAGCTAACTAATGAGTAAAGAAAAATAAAACATGCTTGAAGAAATAACTTCCAACCATGATGCACCATCCTAAATCAAAACTTTGCCCCACTGAGTGTTTCAACTGTAAAGATTAGATGCAAGCAGAGCTGTTGAAAGGTTTGACTTTTACATCACCTACCATTAACAATATCACCCTCTTGCAATGGCCGCCTGTCAGGAATTCCATGGCAGATCACTTCATTCACTGACGTACAGCATGACTTAGGGAAATTATAATAATTCAGCGGGGAAGGATAGCAGTTCCTTGCAATGCAGGCCTAAAACAGATTTAGAAAATATATACATATTATACTTTAGATTAGCAAAGACATTCGTAAAGGAGAACAGATTTGCAGTATGACTGATATTTTAAATTCTCTCTGTATTAGCAGCGATGCTTGAAAATATTTCCTCAAATGCTTTCCCCTGCCCCCCCCCCCCAATTTGTTTAGACTCCTGACATGCTCTCTCTCAGTTTAGTTTGTTTATTTTTATTTTTTGCATTTCCTCTCAATATTGACAGTATGAAACAAGCTTCATTTATTTTCTTTTGTTTATAGCCATTTTCACTTCCAGTTATCAATGCTGCAATATTTGGCTTGTTAAATATCTTGTGGGAATATTTATTTGTTTAAAAGCTAACTGTTTTGGAGTGGGTGCTTTTTTAAACAATGGAAACATTTTGGCTAGTCTACAACTTTATAAAATTTCATGTTTACAAAAAGTAAAGGCTGAACACAATTTAAGTTGGCACCATGCCTTTAAAACTTTTTTTGTTTTAATTATATAACTTCTTTGTCTTTCTGTAACAGTTTAAAAGTTCTATACAGACACAGACACACAAAGGCCGGGTCTACACTAAGAAGTTAGGTCCAAGGAAGCCACAGTAAGTCGACCTGTTAATGTATGCGTCTACACTACCAGGTCCTTTATGCCGACCTAAGACACCTCAACTTCTGTAATCCACCTCTGGGAGAGGCTAGCACTAAGTTCGATTTTCGTGGGTCGACTGCGAGGTAGTGCAGATGCAGCGTTGTGTAATTCAACTTAATTGGCCCCCAGGTGGTGTCCTGCAATGCTCATCTGTGAGCCCTCTGGAGATCATTCTCAACTCTGCTGCACTGCAGCCAGGTACACAGGAAACAGCTCCTCCCCTGCTAAAGCCCCAGGAATTTTTGATTTCCCATTTCCTGTTTGCTCAACATTGGAAGCATGCCAGCGTGAGCACAGCTGATCATGGAGACTACACGCTCCAAACGCACTCCAGCCTGGTCTGCACAGGAGGTGGTGGATCTCATCGCTGTGTGGGGAGAAGAGTCATGCAGTCCGATCCAGCAGAAGAAACACGGACATCTATACAATGATTGCTTGAGGAATGGGGGGAGAAGGGCTACACGAGGGACACACAGCAGTGCCGTGTGAAAATAAAAACTTCGCCAAGCGTACCAGAAGGCAAGGGAGGCGAACAGTCGTTCTGGTGCTGAACCCCACACGTGCCAGTTCTACAACGAACTGCATGCGATTCTCGGGGGTGACCCTACTAGCACCCCCACAAGCAACGTGGACACCTCACCAGTGAGAGTGTCTAGGGACAAGGAGGATGATATGGTGGATGAGGAAGAGGAGGAGGATGGGAGATAAGTGAGCAGTGGATCCATTCTCCCTGAGAGCCAGGAAATATTTTTAACCCTGGAGCCTTGTGGGTTGCAGGACATCACAGTGGCCGACCGTGATGCCGGGGAAGGCACCTCTGGTGAGTATACAGTTACAATCAAAGTTCAGTTAAACTTTAGCGGGCACACACATTCAGTGATATTGCATGTTTACTGTGAAGAAAAAGTGAGGTGCTGTGGTTCTCTGCTTACAAGAGGGCGCTCTAGCTATGCATAGGGTCACCCCTGGAAAAGACTGTTTATGTGGACTGGGATATCCATGAAGGATTCCCAGGCTATCTCTAGGAAACTTTCATGGAGGTACTCTGTAATCCTTTGCAGAAGGTTTCTGGCTAGGGCAGTCTTATTTCTTCCACCATGGTAGGACACTTTCCCATGCAACTCCTGAATTAATTCTGCTGACATCATGGTGGTACACAGCTTAGCAGCATAAGGACCGAGTCTATACCCAGACACCTGCAGCATCTCCTTCCTTTCCGCCTCTGTTACCCTCAGGAGACTGATATCACATTGGGTCACCTAGGAAAGTTCTCATTAAAAGTGCTCTTACAAGGGGGGGGCGGGGGAAGGGCATGTAGACCCACCCACCCCTACATTCCAGATCACCAAACCAAGTTGCCGCTAATGTGCCTTTACTGTGCTCGGCCTGGATCAGCAAGTAGTTTAAAGTGGCTGATATGGGACTGGTGCCCCACATGAGAGATTCTGCAATTTGGGAGTGAAAAAGTTTCCCCCTCTCCCTCCACCCCTTTGTAAACAGCTTCCCATGGTGCTTTGGGAAAGGGCCATTGTTCGACTAGCTATGTCTGCTCCCGACATGAGCCTGCCATAAACTTCATTAAAAGTGCGGTCACCCAGTGGGGGGGGGGGGGGGGAGGCACTACGCACCATGTCTGGAGCGGCAAAATGGCAGTGAATGGTTACGGATTCTGATTATGTTATGGCTTGCACCTAGAGTAATAAGTTTGGGGGGGGTTGTTTTTTTTTTAAATGGAAATGGCCTTGCTATGAAAACATTTTAGTCATGTACAATGGCTCCTTTATTTTTCCCCCATGACTGACAGCTGGAAAAGTGTCTTTCGGCATGTCATCAACACCTGAAAGCAGACTTTCGCTGATTAGGAGGAGGAGAAAGAATGCGGAGGACATGTTCACCGAGATAATGAACACCTCTGGGACAGCTGACGCAGAGCTGAGAGCGTGGAGGATTTCACTGTCTGAGAAGTTAGACATGGACATGGAGAACAGGAAAGCTTCCAATGACTGAGAGCGTGCAGCACAGGATGAGATGCTTCAGATGATGAGGGACCAAGCAGACATGTTGAGGCGTCTGGTTGAACTGCAGGAACAGAAGCAGGAGGGTAGAGTCCATCTGCAGACCCTGGTGGACAGGCAGCCAGCATCGCCTGGCACAGAATCACCCTCCCCAACACGTTCCATGACACATGGGAGAAAGTCCATTATCCCTTTCACTTAACTCAGGGGGAGGGTACAAGGAACAGAAGGCGCCCATTCACAGACCTTTGATGGTCTGGAATGTGGTGTTATGTTACACAGTTGAAAATGTTTCTCCCATTCCAACTTTACAACCCCTTTTCCCCAAGGTTACCATTTTTTCCTCTGTTCTCCCTCTTTACTTATGCTTATTAAATAAAGTAAATGGATTCAAGAAATAATTGTTCTTTATTGAGTAGAAGCACTGGGCTTGGGCAGGGGAGGGGAGGTTGGCTTTACAGGGACAGTGACACAAGCCAGGTGAAGGTTTGAGAAAGCACAATGCAGACAAGCAGCTCACATTACTGTGACTCATTACTGAAACGGCTTTTCAAAGCCTCGGGGATATGCAGTGCCCCTTGCTGTGCTCTTCTTATTGCCCTGGTGTCTGGCTGCTCAAAAATGGCTCCCAGGTGATCTGTCTCAACTGCCCACCCCTGTGGAAAAGTTTTCCCCTTTTTTCCTCCACAGATATCATGGAGCACACAGCAGTCAGCTATAACCATGAGGATGTTCTCCTCACTAAGGTCCAACCTTGTTAATAGACTTCTCCAGCGCCCCTTCAAACGACCAAAGGCACATTCAACCACCATTCAGCACTTCCTGAGCCTATAGTTGAACCACTCCTTACTGCTGTCCAGACGGCTGGTGTATGGTGTCATGAGCCATGGGAGCAAGGGGTAGGTGGGGTCCCCCAGGATAACTATAGACATTTCAACATTGTCAATGTTCATTTTGTGGTCTGGAAAGAAAGTCCCAGATTGCAGCTTTTTGAACAGACAGGAATTCCTAAAGATAAGCATGTCATGAACCTTTCCCAACCATTCTATGTTGATGTTGATGAATTGCAACCTGTGATCCACCAGCACTTGCAACACCATTGAAAAGTATCCCTTTCGATCTATGTACTCTTTGGCAAGGTGGTCTGGTGCCAAGATGGGGATATCTATCGCCCCACCACAATTAGGGAACCCCACCGTGGCAAAACCATCCACTATGTCCTGCGCATTTCCCAGACTCACTACTCTTCATAGCAGAAGTTGCTTAATGTCCCTGCACACTTGGAGCACAGGGACTCCCACAGTTGGTTTACCTACTCCAAATTGATTCCCCACTGACTGGTAACTGTCTGGCGTTGCAAACTTCCGAATAGCAATCGCTGCTCGCTTCTCCACTGTCAGAGCAGCTCTCATTTTTGTGTTGCTGAACTGCAGGGCAGGGGAAAGCTCTGCACAAAGTTCCTGGAAGGTGGCCTTCTGCATTCAAAAGTTCTACAGCCACTGCTTGTCATCTCATACCTGCAAAACGATGCAGTCCCACCAGTCAGTGCTAGTTTCACGGGACCAGAAACGGTGCTCAGAGTGCTGCTGCTCTGTGACTGCCAGCAGCAACTGTGAATTGTTTTTTTCAATGGCTTGCAGCAGGGCTGCTTGCAGAACACCACTATGTTCCAGGTAGTGGACCCTACTTCGGCTCTGGAAATACTGCAGAAGGCACGAGGTGTTTGAGATGCTCACAGCAAGAGTGCACAACTGAGCAGGCTCCATGCTTCTGGGGTTATGGCACACGCGTGGCAGTTTTAAGGAATGAAAACCACTGTTTTGTTTTCCATTGATATGAGGGAGGGAGCACAGTGCATCATGGGATGCCAATGCAATGTTCCCATTCTCCCCGCAACAATATTTTGGTCCCATGAGGAATTGCACAAACTTTCCAAAACACACTGTGACAAGTTGCACTTTGGGATAGCTTCTCATGATGCACTGCTAGTGAGAATGCACTCCATCAAGACAATGAGCATGGTATGGCCACGCACAACCGACTTAATTAAAGGGGGGGAGGGATAGCTCAGTGGTTTGAGCATTGGCCTACTAAACCCAGGGTTGGGAATTCAATCCTTGAGGGGGCCAATTAGGGATCTGGGGCAAAAATCTGTCTGGGGATTGGTCCTGCTTTGAGCAGGAGCTTGGACTAGATGACCTCCTGAGGTCCCTTCCAACCCTGATAGTCTATGATTTGGAGGCTTGAGGTCGAATTAGATAAAGTCAACTTAATTTTGTAGTGTAGACAAGCACAAAGTAACTCTGGAAAAATAAAATTGCTCCTAAAACAGTTATTAACATTATTCACTGCTATCAGTCGGTTTTATGCAAGGCTTGCCAGCCACTAATTTTTTTGGCCACTAACAATTTACATGCTGGCTGCTCCTACTGAAAATCTTAAGAGTAAGTTAGTTTCATTCCTGTTAAACCATATTAAACATGAATCTTCAGGAGTGCTCAGCATCCTCCACTCCTCTCAGCAGTTGTTCCCTCTTGCTCTTGGCCCAGCTGCCCTCAATGCAGATAGCAAAGTAGCTAACATAAGGCTCCTCCACCTCAGCTACTTGCACCTGACATTACAAGATCTGCGGGAACTGCTGCACTCGCTGTACACTCCACAGTAACCCTGTCCCCAATATAAACAAATTCCTAACTGGACTTTATGAAAAGCACAAAATCAAAATAAATTAGAACAACTTAAGCCCCCATCCAGCAAAGCACTTACTAGACTCTTGCTGGATTTGGGTCTTAATTTGCCTGAATTGTACATGGCAGCTGGTTCCAGAGCAGGGGAGGCTAGTGGGTCAACATGAGCTACATTCATGGATTCTGCATAACAGCCAGCTCCATCCCCATTCTCTTAAACTCCCCAGTGTGATTCCTGGCAGGGGACCTTTGGAGCCTCTACTTTTGGGGTGGGGTTCAGGGTTTTAAATGTAACTTTCTTGCTATGTAAATATTGTAATGTCTATTATCTAGTAGCTTTAAACTGAAAGGGTGTGAGGTTTTTTTAAGCTGGAAATTGAAGGTAGTTTGGAAATACAGAAAATCAGATAGACATTTTGGCAGGAACACACACCACACAGTCCTACCAAACAGAAGGGATAAAAGACCACGTAACAAATCCTAAAGTATGTTAAAGTAGCCTTACTAGATGGACGGCATGATCTATTTCTTCAGTAGTTATGCCTGGTTTCACCATCATGGCAGCAACATCCAACACTTCTCTAGCAAGCTGTAAGTGAGAGATCACAAACTACTTATTTAAAAATATACACAGCCTGAGTCACTAGAACACTGAGTAACCCCCAAGGGGGGAGCAGTCAATCTCCTGTGGATACAACTAGGGTGCTAGGGAAAATTAGGACTTTTGGAAATCAATGGGACTTGTACTTCTAAATCACTCAGACACCTTTGAAAAGTCCACTTACTGTTTATAATTAATTGGACATAGAATCCTGCCAAGTGAAATAAACCACTTAATTAAACCTGGAAGTTATCATCAAGAAACTAATTACAACTAGAAAGTTCTTATTCAACAGATCTACTTATTTTGGAGGCTGCTAGTCCCGTTAGCACCACCATCAACAACTATTGGGGGGGGGGGGGGGAATTCTGGTCTCACTTATACATTATCAACAGAATTATTGGCTAAGTTCCCATATTTTGTTCCCAGGGAAATAACCCACTTCCTTCCCTGATGAACCAAGGAACAAACCCCACCCATGTACTTATTCGCGACACTGATACTGACTTGGACTCTTTATACATTCAATGGGTGGTGTACCCAAGCCCACTTATCCACTGACGCTCTAAAAACTACCGCACCCCAAGCTGGGTCTATGCTGCTTATGTGATATGTATGCATCTCGTGATCCTTGTAACTGATACCTGTAATCCCTCATAACTCATGCCAGACCACAAATGTGCAGTACCTTCCCTCTTAACTTATGAATATTTAATTTTAAACATTATCTTTGTTACTGGATATATCACAGCCAGAAAGTAGCCAGACTGACTTTCAGATCTCAGGTTGATTTTGCAGTGGTGACAGGTAGAAAAATTATCTTTTCACTTGCAAATAAGCAAATTTGATCTGGAGTTGCTGGGAGAGAAACAGAGGCAGACGCACACCAATTTTAGTCAGTCACTTTTCAGAGTATAACTGCACTTTCAAAGTTCATACCCTTAAGGTGAATTGTCATAAACTAGTAAAATCATGAGTTCTCTAGATTTATGGAGAGCATACACATTCTGTAAAACAAACTCACCCTACACACTAATCGCATCCCTTCTATATCTTCAGATGAGAGGATTTTTATTTGAGAAGTTCCTTTAAGTGCCTGTTCTGATTCAGACATGCCTTAAAAAAAAATGGATTATATTTAGGGTCAATTTTCACACACACACACCTCTTAAAGTACTTAAGGTAATAAAAATTTACCTCTTTTCCACAAACACACTGACAATAAACTCACCAGTCAAGGCAACATTAACATCTGACCAACCTCAATTCACATGCCTTCCCACACAAACTTCCCAGGTCCTCACCTCCACACCAAACTCTCATCCATTTCCAGCATACAATCACCCATAATGCCCACAGCCAATTACTCAAAGTCTTGCTCAAACATACAATTTTTAACTCCAACATCAGATGTTTTAAGGAAACAGACCTTTCTGTCTATTGGTAAAATATAGTAATATTGCAAAGGGTGGAGCTAAGGCTATATGTTTGCATGTGATTGAAGAACTGGTTACAAAGTTGTTGAATGAATAAATTTCTACAGGAGGCAGAGAACATTACAAAGTCTTGTGATAGTAGCTAACATTGTAACATTGCTGTTAAAATTGCTGTACCCGTCCGATGGAAAAGCGTTCAACTTATTCTCATTGTGACTTTGTGCAACATCACCGTTCTATAATTTCAGTTAAAAATAAATAATGACTATCAAAATCAATACTTTGTATTATTTTGATATTTAGTTTAATAACAAATCATTTAAGTTTGTCTAAGGTTTAAAAATGAATTCTGAGTAACATTTTTCTTTATTGTCTAACATTAACTTATTAACATTTTCCAATGTAAAAAAGAAGAATCACTAAATAGGTTTTGAAGACTCTTTCTCTCCCTAAGTAAGAGCCTGGCACTAAAATGCCAAGTGTCTTCTCCACTGATTGCTGTTGAAAAAAACAAGTCAAGCAAAAATATCTATAGACCATTTTCCAGTACATTTGCAACAGGGATCCTTGTGTCACTGGGAGTAGTTTTATGGAATTAGTCATGTGAGTCAACTTTTGAAATAACCCTTGTTACATGTACTTTGTTATTCAATAAGGCACAGACCTAGTGCTGTATTTTGAGAGAACAGAGTTCCAAATGCACCTGTGGATGACAACTCACTACAAGTTCTGGAGTATCTATGAAACACATGCAACTTTATTGCTCAAAGGATTTTGTCATGAAAGGTCTGTTAAAGACAAATTCCTCTCTCCCGTTACTTCATTATAAGAAGTTTTAAGAATACGTGCAGCCTAAATTAACAAAAGTAAACATTTGAAATGCATCACAATTTAAAATTACCTAGTGGGTGATCAGCATAATCTGGTCTCTGAATATAACTTGGCACAGGCCTCGTTGGCATCTAAATGAATCACAGTCAAAGCTAGTTAGATTGTAAAAGCACTTATAGTCATAAAAATAAGCAAAGATCCATACATAAAACTTAATACAATTAAACCTGGCAAATCATACTCATTGATAATTCCCAAGCCCTATATTTTACACACAATCTCTCTCTCCACTCATTTTTCAGCAAAGATTTAGCGGTAGAGCTAAATCTTCCGAAGTCTATTACTACGTCCTCATTGCTTTTAATACTACACAACCTTTAGTAGCCTTCATATAAAAAAAATTACACTTCACATGTCAATTTTGGGATGCGTTATCCCTGCTGTTTCAGTGTTCGTTCACTTACTCCAACTTGCAAAATTCACTAACTGCAGATGGATCCTCCAGTTATTAGTACAAATTAGTGAGATTTTACTATTTTGTTTAAATAACATCCCATTTCTTATCACTCTTTAGTGGGATTTCACTCCATTCAATCTTCCAGCAGCAAGTGGCCAAGAAGGCAAGGATCTGACTATGGTAATGCAGTGTTGGGATGGCTAGTGGTAGAATCAATATTCCCCATTTCCCCATCCCAATAAATGCGCAGGATCTGGGATGGGATCAGGCCCAACTGGGCTGTTCTATCTATCTGCAGTACATTGAGAAAAACATCAGGAGGATACTTTGGTGATGCAGGCTACACTACAAGTAAATTAGATAGACAGCTGCACAAATAAAATGCTGCTAGGCCACCACACCTGGATATAAACTGTAATGTATTTTAGAGTATTTGTTTCTTCTGTCCTTTCCATAGTTTAGGCTCCAATCCTGCATAGACTTAGGCCTTGCCTACCCACAATTTTTCACCAGTTTAACTAAAGGTGTGTTTTTAAAGAATTTAGTAAAACCAGCACAAAATCCTGGGTAGACCATCTTATTTCAGTTTAAGAATGGCCTATATAGATTAAGTGTAAATTGATGCATTACCAGGTTAAGCTAAACCAAAACAAGCCACTCAAACCAAAAGTATGAGTGCCTACGCAATGTTTTGTTTCACTAAACCAGTTTTTAAACTGATTAAAATTAAGCCAGTGTATCTTTCTCATGTAGACCCACCATTACACTCAAGCATAACTTCACACACCATGAGTACTCCCATCGACTTAGATGAGACTACTCACTGCATAAAGTCAAACACGTATACAAGTTTTTGCAAGATCAGGAGCTTAATTTTTTAATGCTTTGTAGCCAAGAGAACAGTGTGCTGTTGGCAGCAATACTGCTACAGGAGCAAACAGCTCGGATACATCATAAATCCATAAGTTTCAATGGGATTTAGATGCATAAGTTTGAAAATCTACCCCAATATAGTTTCACAAATTTCCAGCAAACTTAAGTTTTGTTTATTTGAGAATTTTTTAATTTTTCTCCTTCCTCCCCTTACTCTCCTGCAGTGGGACTAATTTCCAGCCTCTAATATTATTTTAACTTATGCATTCCTTATGATTTACTCCTTCCTGTTTTTCACCATAAAATGTCCCATACTAGACATCCATGAATGGAAAGGTCATACTAAGTAGTCTTAAAAAATATATCACACACACAAAACCATTTTCTCTGAATGACTCAATTACCAAGGACTTTCACTTCTCACACTTCATTGCTGAAAGCATCTGAAAAAAAAAAATCAGATATTATTTCTGCCACTTTTAATAGATAACGTAGCCACTTACTAGGGGATAATGTGGCCTGAGTTTACCAGAGTATCGATAACCAGCCCAGGGATCTGTGTTAATGTCACCTTCCACAGTCCAAGATGAAACTTCACGTTTAGCTTTTTCATCTTCTGCAAAATAAAAAATAAAACTAAATTTCAGGATATTGGGACAAATTAACCACCTATTCCAAAAATAGGGAGAGTATGAAAGGTGACCTGAAAAGAAAAATAAATCTTGATTTGCACCCCTTTTTTTTTTTTGCTTCTTTACAATATTCACAAAGAAAGTCTGAAAGTGTATTTGTTTGTTTTCAAGTTTATTTTCCCCGTTTGTTTTTTTCCATTAGAAATGTAGGTCTTGTCTGTTTTTACTCTAAGGAAAATGCAAGGATTTATAGGACAACGATATTGGAGACACCAAGCAAGTGAAAGGCGGCCTTCCCACACCCCTGCAGCCAGGCTTGTGGGGGGCCATGGATGGACCTTCTGGCCAGAGGCTCCCCAGGGCCCCGGGCACTCACCCAGCTCTGGGAGGAAATGCTGCTCTCCAGCGCGTATGGCTCCCGGCTCCCTTCCAGGTCGTACCACCCCATGTTGGGCCTGGTTCCCCCAGGCAGCGGGCCTACCATTTTTTTATTACCTCCTCTACTGCCACCGGCCACCCGCTCATTCACCCTCCTCCTAGTGGCGAATTAGCTACTAGGCCAACCCGGGGCCCCGGAAAAATGGACACTCTCGTGCCCCAACCTGGTCTACCTGCCTGGCCTTCCTGCCAAGGAGCGGGGTGGGAGCGCAGGGGCTTGCCCCACTCCACCTGGCCCTGGAAGGAGCACCGGGCAGGCAGAGCGGGACAAGCACATGGGCCAGAGCACAGCCAGGACTAGGGGGTGGGCCTGGATGCTAAGTGGGTTGGCCATGGCCCACCTAGGCCCACTCATGGCTACAGCCCTGCCCCACTCCCACCCCCCTCTTCCCCACCTCTTTCCGCCCCCTCCCCAAAGCACGCCTGGTCCCTGCTCCTCCCCCTTCCTCCCAGGCCCTCCTGCACGCCACTGAACAGCTGTTCTGCAGCGTGCAAGAGGGCCTGGGATGGAGGGGGAGGAGTTGATCAGCAGGGCCAGCAGCCCTGGACATGACTCGCGGACTCCCTGGAGTACCCTCGCGGACCCCCAGGGGTCTGCAGATCTCAGTTTCAGAAACGCTGGGTTACGAGATTCTTGTTTTGTTTTGTAGCTGATTTAAAAGTTTCCTTCCTTCAGAAAGAGAAGGGACTGGCAAGAGGCCACCCATCCCTCCATGCCCTTCAAAGTAGTGCAGTAAGTTTCCTCCTTCATGCGTAACCTCAAGCTAATGCAAGATAGTTGTGTATCAGTCTTCCAAGAGTGTTGGAGGAGATGACTGGAGTACTAGAGTACCATAGAGAGATAAGAGAATTTACGCAGGGGTAAGGGAGTAGCCTTGCTGCATCATCTTTAACTAGCAATGTGATTACTTGTTTCTGCTTTCCCATTTTGAGATCTCAGGAGTATGAGAACAGACTGCCATGGCAATCCCAATGAGTGCCACTGGACTACTTGTTGTTTTTGTGGATACAGATTAACACGGCTACCCCCTGGTACTTGACACCAATGATGTAAGTTCATCAGAGTCTGCATGTCTAGTGTTTGAGCATCTACCTAAATGATGGCTGATAAACACAAGGATTTTTGTTCTTTAAGTGAATCCCGCATGGGACAATTTAAAAAAACAGTTTTCAGGTTTGCATTTTCTGAAAAGCTTTAATAAAGTGGTATTTAGATTTGAATTATCCGTTGGAACTCAGTAGTTAGTGGCATCGGGGGAAGGGGAACTGGAAGAGGACCAGTGGAGAACTGCTCAGGTGCTCTCAGGTCTTTATGCTACTGTAAAGTGAGTAGCTTTACACTGAGCCGTCAAAACTGTCACTGACAAGTGGGCAGGAGCACTGTGGGATTGCTCTGGGAGAATTAATTGCACCACTGCATCTAAAATACTTGCATTTCTTGTCTGTACTGCCATTGCAATGGTGCAAAGTGACCCAGTACTGAATGCTACAGTGGCAAGAGTTGCCTGGGGAGAGTCTAAACTAGAAAAAATTAGTGTTTTTCTGTGCTGTTCCCAAACAATAAAAAACACACATGACATTTTATTCTGGGAACAAGAGTCTTACCAAGCTTAAGGTAGGTAAGGTGGGGGTTGGGAGGAAAGATGTCAAGAGTTTGGCTTCTATCCCTCTGACTTATTTTTAATGCTGATTCCCCTTTCATCTATTTCTTTGTTGTTGGGTATTTTTCTTCTCCACATTCTTCTAAATGTCGGACTTTTATGAGTAATGCATCCAGTCAGCGCAAATGGATTATAACAGCCAAAGTATAATGATTTGAATATATGAAGTATTGTTATTGAGAGATAACCACACAGGCATGTAAATTAGACACCCACAATCAGAGTTCAAGGAACTGCATACACACAAACAACTCTACAGTTGTGGAACATATAAATGAGTTTACAATAGGGAAACTTTGCCAGCCTTTTCCTGCACCAGTGCTACCGATAGCGGAACCTGTAGTGTAGGCCGAGTGCATGCGTTCCTACTACTGTGCCACCTACTAAAAATTGTAATCTGGTTTCACAACAGCTTCCACCACTGGTAGTGCTGATGTAAAAAGATGTTACAGAGCTTGTCTACATACATAAGCACTAAATGTCCAGCACAAATGTACTCTGATTGGCCGTCTGGAACGTTTCAATTTTAGAATAACCAGGCATTAAAAACACAAAATGCAAAAAGTCTGGCAATGTCTCACTGCTATAACTTGTTCTCCTTTCTCTGTTCACAGTTTAGCTCTCAGCAATATTTCAGTCATACATGGGTGTGGCATGAATAGAAATAAAGAGATTTATATGCCAAAACCCTTTAGTTTTACCTAGATCTATAGTAATAGCTTAGAGCCTAAGCTGAATCTCCGATGTGCAGTGCACGCTGCCAGGTATCTCAGAAAAATCCACAAGGATGCTTACGCATGGATGCACATTAGTGTAGATGCAGAGTACACTGTATAACTTAGGACAGAATATAGCCCTTATTTTGCATTTTTAAACTAGACTGAAATAAACAAACACTTGCAATAGCATGAATAGTTGATCTTCATATACAAATTCAAAACTGAATAAAGACTGGATAAGAAGCTTACTTACTTGCTTTCTTGTGTAGTAACTTGTGAGTGGCCCAGCTTCCCTTAAAACATTCCTGAAAGTGAAAATAATATAAAAATCACCATTGTCTGGAATAGAACGTGACCTCCACAAAACGGATGACAAACTATATTAAACAAGGATTCTATTACCTACATTAGCAACACTCAAGAAAAATGCTTTAACTGCCAGTGTTAAGACTGGAAAATACTGTATTCAACAGGTTTATAATGCAAAAGGGAGGGAACCGAGCCAAACAGCTGCAACCATTCCATTACAGCAACTTGATTTCCTCTCATCTCCTGGATATTGTCCCACTATTACTTTTCTGTGTAACCAAGCACTATAGCTGCAACAAGGATGATGTCGTATCGCGCAGTTCATAGAATCACAAGGGTCAGAGGTGAAAAGAATCATTTTCCATGACTCGTCCTGACAATTTTTGTGTTTTACAGTCATATGAACCTATTTTTTTCAAATGTATTTCTCTCCTCAATTGCTGTATGAGAGCGCCGCATAAAGGGGAAAACTGCCTTGTAGAGGAAACAGTGCAAATTACTACATACAAAATAAACTGAAAAACTAAGGGGAAAACTGTCCTCAACTCTTGGCTATTGTTATCTCAGATGTAACTTGAAACAGCAGCAGAAAAACAACTGTAATTTTAATTCAATGTTGTCCCTTTCAAATTCACACATTTATTTTGGCTTCAAAACACTACAAACTATTACAGTCATTCTGTACCTAGACATGAGCTCAAACTGATGCTCACTAGGAGCAATGTGTTCAACTTAACTTGAATCCAAAAGAGTAACCAAATACAATCAATATTAAACCTGTGAGATTATTTCCCTTTCAGAGACCGTTTCTGTCAATCAATCCAATTGGCTTCTACCTTAGGGAGCCAGCTCAACACCTGCTGATTGAAATGTTGATATAGGTACGCACTGGCGCATTGCTTTGCTGCCAACAGCATTTTCTGGCACACGTGTACTACAAATGATGGTTAAATATTATGTTACGTATAATCAGTAAACAGAGTATGTAAGAAAAGCTGTAAAACAGACAATTCTACAACATATTCACTCTCCTGCTCTTCACACAGCAAATGTCAGGTTAGCTCTTGCTGCAGCAGTCATTCAGAATACTTCTAGCTATTATACTTGAATGGTCCCCATTACCATGGCACTTGAGAACCTCCATCTTTTGTAGATTTATCCTCACAACAAACCTGTGAGGTAAAGAAGCACTAGTATCTCAACTTTACGCACGAGGAACTGAGGCATGGGGATACTAAGTGATGTGCCCAGGGTCACACAGGTAGGATGTGGTGGAGCAGAGATTTAAAACTGGTCACCAGCATCCTAAATACTGGACCATACTTCTTCTCACAATCTTTATAAGAAACACCCACACCTCCTTTTAAATATTTACAAAATCATTTCTTGCAGTCTGAGACTTGAATTCAATCAAAAAGAATGCAAGTCATAGGAGGGGATTAAGGCTACACTAGAAATGCTGCAGCTGTGCCATTTTAGCACTGTAATGTAGACACTTACTACAGTGATGCAAGAACCCCTTCCATCGCTGTAGTAAATCCACCTCTCCAAAAGGCAGTAATTAGGCTGATGAAAGAATTTTTCCATCCACCTACTGCTATCTACACTGGGGCTTAGGTCAGCTAATTATATATACTAATTATAAGAATATAAAAACAGCCATACTGGTCACACCAAAGGTCCATCTAGCCCAGTATCAAGTCTTCCGATAGAGGCCAATGCCAGATGCCCCAGCTGGAATGACAAGAACAGGTAATAAAGTGATCCATTCCCTGTCACTCATTCCCAGCTTCTGGCAAACAGAGGCTAGGGACACCATCCCTGCCCATACTGGCTAACAGCCATTGATGGACCTATTCTCCATCAACTTATCTAGTTCTTTTCTGAACCCTGTTACAGTGGAATCACATCATAGGCACATTTAACTTACGCAATTTTAACTATACGCGCTCGGCAAAAAACAAACAAAAAAAGAGAAAAATAATTTAAATACTGTACTTGTAGTGCGGGCAATTCCACCCGCCATTCCACTCAATGAGCGTTTGATTATACGCGATTTTCGCCTTACGCGCTGACTTCAGAACCTAACCCCCGCATAAGATGCGACTCCCCTGTATAGTCTTGGCCTTCACAACAGCCTCTGGCAAGGAGTTCCACAGGATGACTGTGCATTGTGTGAAGAAATATTTCCTTTTATTTGTTTTAAACCTGCTGCCTATTAATTTCATTTAGCGACCCCTAGTTCTTGTGTCTTGAGAAGGAGTAAATAACACTTCCTTATTTACTTTCTCTACACCAGTCATGATTTTATAGACCTCTATCATATCCCCTCATTACTCATCTCTTTTCCATGCTGAAAAGTCCCCATCTTATTAATCTCTCCTCACATGGAAGCTGGTCCATACCCCTAATCATTTTTGTTGCCCTTTTCTGAACCTTTTCTAATTCCAATATATCTTTTTTGAGATGGGGCGACTACATCTGCACCAAGTATTCAAGATGTGGGTTTACCATGGATTTATATAGAGGCGAGATGATACATTCTGTGTTATTAGCTATGCCTTTCTTAATGATTCCCAACATTCTGTTCACTTTTTGACTGCTGCAGCACACTGAGTGGATGTTTTCAGAGAACTATCCACAATGACTCCAAGATCTCTTTCTTGTGTAGTAACAGCTAATTTAGACCCCATCATTTTATATGTATAGTTGGGATTATGTTTTCCAAAAATTGGTGTCACATTTATCAACATTTAATTTCATCTGCCATTTTGTTGCCCAGTCACCCGGTTTTGTGAGATCTTTTTGTAGCTCTTCACAGCCTGCTTGAGACTATCTTGTGTAGATTTGCATCAGATGCAAATTTTGCCACCTCGCTGTTTACCCTTTTTTCCAGATCATTTATGAATATGTTAAATAGGACCGGGCCCAGTACAGACCCCTGGGGGACACCACTATTTACCTCTCTCCATTCTGAAAATGAACCATTTATTCCTACACTTTGTTTCCTATCTTTTAACCAGTTACCAATCCATGAGAGGACCTTCCCTCTTATCCCATGACATCTTACTTTGCTTAAGAGCATTTGGTGAGGGGCCTTGTCAAAGGCTTTCTGAAAATCTAAATACACTATATCCACTGGATCCCCATTGTCCACATGCTTGTTGACGCCCTCCAAGAATTCTAGTAGATTGGTGAAACATGATTTCCCTTTACAAAAACCATGTTGACTCTTCCCCCAACAAATTATGTTCATCTATGAATCTGACAATTCTGTTCTTTACTATAGTTTCAACCAGTTTGCCCAGTATTGAAGTCAGGCTTACTGGCCTGTAATTGCTGGGATTACCTCTGGAGCCCTTTTTAAAAATTGGCATCATATTAGCTATCCTTCAGCCATTTGGTACAGAAGCTGATTTAAATGATAGGTTACAAACTACAATTAAAAGAAGAACAGGAGTACTTGTGGCACCTTAGAGACTTGTTAGTCTCTAAGGTGCCACAAGTACTCCTGTTCTTCTTTTTGCGGATACAGACTAACACGGCTGTTACTCTGAAACTACAATTAGTAGTTCTGCAATTTCACATTTTGAGTTCCTTCAGAACTCTTGGGTGAATACCATCTGGTCCTGGTGACTTATTACTGTTTAGTTTATCAATTTGTTCCAAAACCTCCTCTAATGATACCTCAATCTGGGACAGTTCCTCAGATTTGTCACCTAAAAAGAATGGCTCAGGTTTGGGAATTTCCCTCACATCCTCAGCCGTGAAGCTCAATGCAAAGAATTCATTTAGTTTCTCCGCAATGGCCTTATCGTCCTTGAGTGCTCCTTTAGCATCTCGATCGTCCAGTGGCCAGGCTTCCTGCTTCTGATATACTTAAAATTGTTTTTGCTATTACTTTTTGAATCTTTGGCTAACTGTGCTTCAAATTCTTTTTTGGCCGTCCTAATTATATTTTAACACTTCACTTGCCAGAGTTTATGCTCCTTTCTATTTTCCTCACTAGGATTTAACATCTACTTTTTAAAGGATGCCTTTTTGCCTCTCACTGCATTGACAGAGTTAAATTAAAAGCATTAAAAAAAGAGAATGGGACAAGCACTATCTCCAGCTCATTTTCTTGCAAATATTCTCACTACTCGGTACCAGGGTCAAATCTTAACTGCTGAAGAAGAGGAGATGGCTATGACATGGACATCCAGCAATCATCCCTCCAGAATGCCAACTATAATAAACTTCAGAGCTAAAGGTAAACCATTCAAGAAATATATGTTTGCTGATGATGTTTAAAAGAAAGTCACATCAGTGAATTGGTGGAAGTCACTTAAGCACTTGGATTCAGAGACAGTTGAAGTGATAATCTCACTTTTAACAGCAGTAGCTTCTTCTGCCTATGTAGAAATAATATCTTCTTCCTTTGGACTAATTCATTCCAAATTGAGAAATTGTTTGGGACCTGAAAAAGCAGGAAAGCTTGTTTTCCCTTTCCAGATTATGAACAAATGGGAAAATGAAGGTGAAGACAACTGAGTTAGCTGCAGAAGCCAATATTTTAAGTTTCTCATGTTGACCTGGCTGACATAGTTGATTTAATTTTTTTTTTTTTACAAAATATTTCATTTAACTATTTTAGTTAAACAATTTTAACAAAAAACAAGCCTGATTTTAAAAAACTTGAATGTTTAACTAAATTCAAATATTCGTATGCTTGTTTTGTTAAAATATTATATATTTGCCATTGGAAAAAAGAAGTCCAGAATATATAATGATGTTGTTTTAGTTAAATAAAACAATTTAAACGTATATCTGGTGATGTTCTCCTCCTAATATAGCATGGCAAGAAAATCCTCCAAATATTAATGATTAACCTGTTGAATTGGAGACCGTTCACCTCCCAATGACTTCAAAAATATCTGCTTCAATTACTTTTGGTAGATGAAATAACCAGACATTCTCTGATATAGCTGTAAAACTAATCTGAAAAGTTTTCAAA